ATTTCCCACTGACACCTAGGCAAAGGAGGGTGAATTTGAACCCCAGGGATCTGACCAAAGCTTCCCAGGAAATGTCTTCTGGGTTTCCACTTTTATCTTAAAAATGGTTGTAAAATTTTCATTCTACTCCGTGATATGTTTGTTTTACTTTTGAGTGAAATCGATGCTCCAGAAAAATGTTAATTTAGTGCCTTATCAGAGCCCTTGGCACATTCTCATGTACCTCTGGTGATATATTTTATATATATCTATATACATATATATGATTTATGTTTACATGTATCTTACATACCTATGTAAAATGTGTGTACATATGTTAAAAAATATACGTCTTTTTTTTAGTACAAACATTTCAGCAACAGTGCATGGTGGGACAATTGCTGAGAGCATAGGTGCTTCATTAGTGGGGAGGGGTAAATGCTTCTGGGGATCCTAGGGCAGAGCAGACCCCTGGGGATGAGGAAGGTTGATAGGAACATTCCTGGCTGACCTTGACACATTGTCTGCCATGGGGTCTGGCCAGGCCATGGTCAACATGGGAAGATGCTAGTCATTCACAAGGTTCTGGAAGACCAGCTAATTGGTTGACAGCTCTTCCTATGATTGATCTTCCACTGTGGATAGAAGTGGACACCCAGGGAAACAAGAAGACGAGAAAGATAGAAAACAGCCAAAACTTTCTGACTTGGCTAAAATGGGAGACTCTCAGGTACTCATTTGCATGACAAAAGAGATAGACTCTGACCACCTGAATTTGATTTAAAGCTGTTTTTGATTATGGGAGAGGCGCTGTGGAGAGGTTGTATGAACCTTGGCGAGAAAGCACATCAAAAATTAGATTTAATATTAGAGTATTTTATTTGTTCCTTCAAGAACATTGAAATAGGGGCTGGCTCCGGGGCTGAGTGGTTAAGTTGGCACACTCTGCTGTGGTGACCCAGGGTTTCACCAGTTCGGATCCTGGGCGCAGATGTGGCACTGCTCATCTGGCCATGTTGAGGCGGTGTCCCACATGCCACAACTAGAAGGACCTACAACTAAAATATACAACTAAATACTGGAGGGATTTGGGGAGAAAAAAGCAGAAAAAAAAAAAAAAGATTGGCAACACTCGTTAGCTCAGATGTCAATCTTTAAAAAAAAAAACACACAACATTGAAATAGCAATAAAAGAAAAGGAGAACCTACACCTATGTGATGCCAAAGCATTACTGTGCTCATTTCTGTTTCTTTTCCAAGTGCGCATGGTATTCCCTCTTTTTACTAGGAACATAGTAACCCTTTGGAATTCAGCTTTCTCAGCTAGCTGTACACCATCAAAGTTTATTTGTTTGTTTATAATCTTGAGTTTTTATATGCAAAAGATGGGACCATGTCTCCTGTGGTTAGACCACGTAGGAATGAGTGGAGAGTGGTGGAGGGTGTGGTGAAGGACATCAGGAAAAGGAGGAAGGGCAGGTGGGAAGAGCAGAGAGATGGGAGAATAAGAGGAAGACTGGCCCAGATGGTGCTCTTAGAAGCTAGCTACATTTTACATTTTAATTTAAAATTAAAAGTGATGACAGTGATGCATTTCATGTGGCAACTTATAGTTTACCAGGTGCTGGCATGTCTCTTTGATCCACATGGGTCCTTGAGGACACTCAAGGCAGCCATTTTTGGCAGCTAAATTAAAAGAGGTTTGTACTATCTGATATAAATTAATGATTTCACCTCTGAATGAGATTTTAAAAATAAATTTCTGATTTCATTTATAAGATTTATCTGCTTTAGTGACTGAGTTAGTTAGGATTAAGATGGTCAAGAATGGTAATAAAACTGAGTTTGTTGATCTTTATGTTACTTGACTTCATATGTAATCTGAGTTGTGTACTTCTGAGTGACTGTCAATTCCTAGTTTTCCTTTTGTTTTTAATTTCCTTCAATGGATTTCTACCTAAATGTCAATAGAAAAGAGGAAAGAGTGCTACTCCTAAATATTTCAGAGCACAACAATATGCTGGGTCCTTTGACTCATAAAATCAGTCTTGTTCCCATCCTCATTCAACCTGAATTGGGTTGAAAGGGAGAAATTTACTTTGTTTTTCTCTCTGCCATTTAGTTTACAAAGGGAGAAAAAATACCCTGGATCTTTGGATTCCCAAGCCAGGAAAAACGAAGTAGAGGAATCTTAACTTGGTGTCATCACCTTTCAACACTAGCTCACACAAAACACAGAGCATACACACATGCGTGCACACACACACGCATCACCCTTTGGCATAGGTGGGCCAGGCAGATTTGGTAACAATCTCAGTTCTACCACTTTCTATCTATTAACATTTAGTGATGGCCTGGAGCCCTCTGGACCTGTTTTCTCATTGTTACAACTGGGAATAAATTACCAAGCTATCGTGAGCATTATGTAAAATAATGCGCTGAAAGTACCTACAGGGGTCTCAACTCTGTCTGTGCCACTACATTCATTTGCAGAACTTGAAAATAATAACGACAACAACAGCTGTCTGGTCCTTCCCAGACTAAGTCACATTGTTGCAGGTAGGCTGAGGTCTCAATATTTCAACAAAGCTTTCCAGGTAGTTCTGACGCTCAGCCGGAGTTGAGAGTCCCTGACCTGTGGACAATGCCTCAGCGTCAGATTTCATCCTTTTCCACCCTTCCTGCAGGGTTCCTCTGACACATGTGTCTCTTACCAGGAAGGAAAGTATAAGACAAACTCATTCACATGAAAACACTGGGGCACCTAATGTGTTATATTTTCTAAGAAAGAAAGGAAGCTTCTTTCGGTGGTGGTGGGCTGTTGTCTTGTGCATTGTAGGGTGTTTGTCACTATCTCTGGCCTTTCTGCTCACTAGATGTCAGTAGCAACCCTTCCCCAAGTTGAGACAACTAAAAATGTCTCCAGATATTGTTAAATGTCCCCTGGAAGACAAAATCACCCCTTGATGATAACCAATGGCCTAAAACATTTGTTCTCAAACCTGGGTGCTATGGACTGAATTTTGTCCCACCAAAATTCATATGTTGAAGTTTTAACCCCCAGTGTGACTGTATTTGGAAATAGTTCTTTTAGGAGGTAATTAAGGTTAATGAAGTCATAAGGGTGGGACCCTGACCTAGTAGGATTATTGTGCTCAGAAGAAGAGACGCCAGAGAACTTACTTTCTCTCTTTTTCTGTGTGCACATATGGAGGAAAGGCCCTGTAAGGACATACAGTGAAGGTGACCATCAACAAACCAGGAAGAGTTCTCACCAGGAAACAAATTTGCCAGCACCTTGATCATGTACTTCCAACCTCCAGAACTGTGAGAAAACATGTCTGTTGTTTAAGCCAACCAGTCTATGGTACAGACATGCGGCGCATAACGACATTTCTGTCAACCATGGAGTGCGTACACGACAGCGGTCCCATAAGATTAGTACCATATAGCCTAGGTGTGTAGTAGGCTGTACCATCTAGGTGTGTAGTAGTCTATGCCATCTAGGTTTGTAGTAGGCCATGCCATCTAGATTTGTGTAAGTACACTCTACAATGTTCGCACAATGACAAAATCACTTAACGAAGCGTTTTTCAGAATGTATCCCTGTTGTTGAGACACGACTGTATTTTCTTATCGTAGCTTGATCAGACTAATACAAGATCCATGAGCTATTTTTTGGTTACACTAAGTTATTTCAATTTGGTCCTGCTAATCTCCTTTGGGTTTTTATCTAGCTGTCCAATGTCAGTGTTTATTACCAACAATTTTTGTCTGTAATTGCACAAAGTTTGGACGATCACTTTAGATTCCCTTAGTTCCCACATTCCACGCTGCTTCCTTACTTTACCTGCTCTCCCCACACCATACATGCAGAGCCTAGTCAAACACAGAGGTAAGGTTATGTTTCATCTGTCTAATAACAAATTCTTGGTCCTCCAACACTTTCTCTTGGGCCAGGTTGAGTAACACTTGTCTAAGTTCCTCTGGCTCTTTAAACAGCATGCTCTTCCTATCCCCAGTAACTGATCCACTTAGGCACTTCTCTCTTGTTCTAAATTCTTTTTGCTCTCTTGCCCTTTGTCCTTCCTTGTCAGTCATCTCTGATGCAGCCTTCGTCAATCAGCTCGTAGGGTTGGCTCTGGCACCTTTAATGGCACCTAACAAAGATGGTGTGAAAAGCAACATCATGACCACAAAAAGAGATATCATATACAGACACATTCACTCTCTCTTTTTTGTAATCATAGGTAATGAGGTCTTATTTCAGAATTTTAGCCAAAGCAGTATTTCTGTGATTCTTGGCCCCAGTGCCAGAAATCGGTAAAGACTGACTTTTCCAGCAGAGAACTGTGTTATCCTGAAGTGAGAGAAGATTAAAAGAAAAATCAACACTACAGTCCTGCCACTCAAGTGCTTGTTGCTAGGGCCATCAAAGATTCTGGCTGCCAGTTCTATTTAAGCGCTCTCCACAGCTTGGCTCCCTTCCCTCCCTGAAGCAGACCTTTTCCTCTGCCACAGTTGCCTTTGATATGGGATGGTTCCTGTCACATGCTGGAGGGGGGCGGGGGGTAGTGCCTTTGGCTTCCCCAGAGGCACTGGGAGTGCTCCTTCACAGAGATCCCCGGCTCTCCTCCTCTGGAAGTCAGGAGGTAAGGCCTACTTCTGAACACATCTCAGAAAAGGCACAGGCAGGGCTTTAGATCATCATGCCAGATTGGGGGTGCAGGGGAGCGTATGACTTAAGCTGTCATCGTGGCCTGGATCACAGCACCCTTTGAAGGGATCTGGCCCCAGGTGATAGCTGAGTGAGAGACAATGCTGTGGAGCACAAGGCTGAACACCTAGTCTGTCTCACAGAGGCCATGCTAACTCCAGAGACAAATATGGGGCTTTCAGGACTGTAAAAGACCTTGCCTTTGCCTTCGCAGATGAGGGCGACCTCTTTGGTAAACAGTCAGTTCTCTTTAAGATCAGATAGATCCCAACAACACCATGAGAACCCAAGTTTACTGAGAAAACAGATTTAGGCGGGTTTTATTACTTGCTCAAGTATCCAGAACTAGTAAATGATGGTGGTTAGCAATGAAGGCCAATTCTGTCAGAGCCCAAAGTTCATGTACCTTTCCTTAAAACAAAAAAGAACAGGTATTTTCAATATAAATCTAAAATATTAAGGCCTCTTCCCCTTTTCTCCAGACCACATCAGCCTCAGGATGGATTATACAGCTATAACTATAACCACAGTACAAACATTATTACTCTAAACTTTGACCCACGCTCCTTTCAAGACCCCTTTTCCCTCCTTCTCTCCTATTATTTCTATGCATCGTTAGGAAGGATCTCAGACACAGTGTTCTTGATTCCCTCTAGAATCTACAATTTTTCATTCTTATGCTTGAGTGGTAATGTCTTCCTCCCAGGCATTCAATTGACACATGACTGTATTATGAGGGTGCCACAAATCCATCACCGTTCTGGTGCATCAATACCACCAATACTCGCTAAAGACAATGACTTGTTCTTCAGTCCAGACAGGGCTAATCTCACTAGACGTTCTGCCTGTTGGGTCTTCTCAGGACTCCAGAGAGCTTGAAGAGACATCTTATGGAGAAGGTGCTTGATACCAGCCTACTGGTACTGCATGCTGCAAGATAAACCAGAAAGTGGTCTTGCTTACAATATTTGAGGTTTAAGAAAATGCCTCTTTTATATTATTTTGTTCCCTTCTTTCTCCTAACCATCTCTTCCTAGGACTCAGACATGAGACCATGTATTTAGGTCCAAAGGTCAATGTTATATGGTAACTTAGGGCATTCAAAAATGCTAACCTTTTCTTAAGAAACTATTCTGTTGGTTATAATACTGTAACTGATAAACTGATTTTGGAAGAATGAGACACTTCACTAACATATACCAGGAGATTGTTGAAATAATTACACAAATGTATGGTTTCTACACTATTACTAGTGTCCTGTGTTTAGCTTACATGTGGGCAAAATGGATCTAGTATATTAAAAACAAAACACAACCATAGGATCAGTGAGACATCATGATACAGCCTGGAATTAGCAGTCAAAAAATCTGTGTCTGGGCCCAGCCATGTCACCCACAAGCTGATCTGCATTGGGTAGGTCATTTAGTCTCTTGGGTCCTCAATGTTCTCATCTGTAAAATAGTAGAAATGGTCTTCACCCTACCTTTCAGAGTTTCATGTGGACAAATGAAATAAAAAATGATTAACAATGTTGGATACTGTGAAAGGAGCATCAAAAGACGGCTAAAGCAACCGTGAAGGCCAGGCTCAGGCACAGTGTGTGATCATGAATGGAAATCATCCTGATGAGGAAAAGCCTCTAGGTTTACTCAGGTTTAGGGAGATGCTGGAGACCATACCACAGTCATTAGAATTTTTACTCCTAATTTAAGAAGGGCCAAAGTTTGAATATGTGAATGCTGGAAATGACCAGAAACCTAAAATGTGAGAGGTTAAACTGCAAAGAATAGATGGCAGTTTTTTCCCTCTAGGTCAAAACTTAGGCTATTTGATTCAAAGCTCTCAGAATATGGATCACATCAAGCTCTCCCTATCCAAGTAACGCATGACTTACATTCACCAATGAGTGTTTAACCCCGTGTCTTTGATTGGTTTAATTTTTAGATTCACTTTCCTCTTTTTAAAATACTTCTCTATTTTTAAAATACTCTCTGGAATACACTTTTATTTTTTTGAATTAAGATGAACTCACAATTCTTTGCTTTTAAAAAGCATTTTGAGATGATGCCTTGAGATAATTGAAGGTGCCCCAGAGTGACACAACCGCAGGCCTGGAAATGACTGCAGTAAAGCAATGTCATTGATGATCAGCATACACCAGGTCATGCTTCAAATGAAGAGAGACAAAGGGAGAATCACCAGGAACGTAGCCACGAAGGCTGACTTTCAATCCCGTCCAGATCAGCTTGACCCCTGGCTTCCGCAGGCTGGGGCTGCTGACCCACTGGACATCCAGAGGAACAAATAAAAGGGTCCAGCAGTGCACAACAAGGACACTGCCCCATAGTGAGAAATTTTCAGCGGCTTCTGGGTCTTGGGTGTTGGAGCAGGATGTCACTGAAGCCATATTACTCTTCACTGGCAGGAAAGGCACTCCTTACACCTTTAATGTGGTTTAATGTGTCATTGTTCAAATCTAGTGTTGTTGGGTTTTAGTAGCTGCTGAAGTAGCCTTTGTACATGGACACATTGCCTCGGCTTTAAGCACCACACCAAGCAGTCTGGGATTCAAATCCCGGCTGAGACTCCTGGGTGACTTTACAAAAGTCTCAAAATTACTGAGTCTCATTTCCTCATCTTTAAAAAAGCATTCATGCAAACGACCTTGCTGCTGTGAATTTTAAATAAGACAATCTATGCAAAGTGTCTTGTAAAGTGCTTGGCTCAGAACAGCATCTGAAGAATGGGAAGGGTTGTTAGAAGAATAAGGATGTAAGAGATAGGAAGTGTGGGCTTTATGTCTAGTTCAGCCTCTAATGAGTTTTGTGAATCTAGTCAAGTCATTTAGCTGCTCTGCGCTTTTATTTAACCATCTATCAAATTGTCAACTGGTATTTGATGCTTTACCTATCACAGTTGAGGATGAAATTGCCTTGCAAATATTAGGAGCTTAAGATATATTTGTTAAAGGGTCAGATAAGTACAGACAGTACTTTGAAAAGTTAACATGACTATACAAATACGTATTTAAGCACATTTAAAAAAATAATTAATGTGCCTACATCCTCAAAAATTTCCAAATTCTGAGGTAATCAAGAAAACACCTAAATCTTTTTATTTGGAAAATGGGGAGTCCATTTTGATTATGGTAGCATATTGAAAATGATAGATTTCTTGGGCAAAAACCACACAAAAACTTTGTAGAGTTTGTGGACAGCCCCTAGTACATTTCACTAAGGACATAAGATGAATGCCAAAGAGGATTTTTTTTTTTTTTTTATCTTTCCTTCTTCCCCTTCCTCAACTCTGAAACAATCATCAATTACCCTTATCTACCGGCACCATCTCATCTAAGTTCATTTTCAAGATGAAGTTTCCTCGTTGGATGGTGGCTGTCCAATCCTCCTTCTGTCCATCACTGACTGCCTCAGAGCTGTCCCCGGATTGACAGTTTGAGAGCGAATCAATAATAATTATCTGGCTGCAGCCATGGTGAGCTGTGTAATTCTGCCACGGGACAGCATTGTGCAAACAGAGCTGCATCTCCGGCTGCAGGTTTAAATATGCAGGCTGGGGCTGTCCATTTAGGTGTGCTGATCATGTGATTACCGGGAGGTAGTGCTTCTTCCCCGGCTGCATTAAAACCCTTTCAAAGGATACGCTCACCTTCTGGGACTGGGCTGCTGGCTAGCATTGCACTATGTAAAACACTGCCTTCAGGGCCTCGAACATAAATCAGTGATTTAAAGGCACAGCCCTGGGAGAGGAGACACTTTGCTTCGGATTTTTATGTAGACTTTAGGCAGAACCACTGAGGGGGATTGTACAAGCACAAATAAAAGAATGGGATCTCAGATATGTTTGGTCCATGTTTATTTCACCTCATCTTAGCCAAAGAAGATAATTGTTTTCTGAAATTATTTGTATCTCGGTTTAAAGATCAGAGTTAATTCAGTATTAAAATTTTGTTGATTTGAGAGGTACAAGTTTGTCATTTCCCATTTGAACAAGAAAATGTTGGCTTTATTGAGTTGAATGTGACTTATTTTCTTTAAAGCAACTTCAGCGTCCCTAGGTAGAAGATGTTGCTGGTTGCTGGTGTGGTTACTCTTATGCACAGGCGGCCACATTTCATTGGTCGTATTTAGGGCATTCAAATGCTGAAGGCAGTGGGATTTCCTTGATTCTATTTTCTGGGAATCTGTATCTGTCGAGAAATTAGAAGAAAGGAAGGTCTTGGGGAGCTTAATAAAATTTCTAACAGAACTCAATGAGAGCCGGGCCTGCAACCAAAATGGGGTTATCATAAGTTCCTGGGGGAGGAATTTTACGTTTGAAAAAGATAGGTTCAGAAAATGATCTAGGGGCTGGCCCCATGGCCAAGTGGTTAAGTTTGCGCGCTCCGCTGCTGCAGGTGGCCCAGTGTTTTGTTGGTTCGAATCCTGGGCGCAGACATGGCACTGCTCATCAAACCATGCTGAGGCAGCATCCCACATACCACAACTAGAAGGACCCACAACGAAGAATATATAGCTACGTACCGGGGAGCTTTAGGGAGAAAAAGGAAAAAAAAAAAGATCTATGTGTCATTAGCAAGTAATGGGAAACAAAGGAAAATGATGTGTCCCGTAGTTATATGATCTATTCTGTTTTATTTCTTTTTTATTTATTTATATGTATACAAATACATATTTATAATTTTTGTAGTAAAATAAAATGTTAGCATTATTTTATACACTTTTATGTGGTGGACCTTTCCATTATCCTCCATTTTTTTCTCTAACGTAAAAATCTTTAAAAAAAAATTAAAACATGCAGAAAAAATTGAATGGGGTTCGTTGGTAAATAGTTAAGTTTCTCATCACTGGATATAATCAAACTGAAGCAGAGTTATTGCTTAGTAGAGATTTTATGTGGGTTATTTAAAAATGGACTGAGAAATTACTAAGAAACATGTAAGATTTCTTCTGACTCTAAGCTCTTAGGATTATTCTCTAGGTTTATAGGCGTTTGGAGCATCTGGTGGACGAGAAGCTGTGAGAAGCATAGGTTATCAGAGGGAAAATTAGAGCAAAGTCTTACATCTTAGCTGTGTTGAGTTTTGTCTATAATTGCTGAGTTAGGCACCATTAACAGTTCTTTAACTCATCATTGCTTGATTTCCTCCAGTTATTTTTTCTGGCTCCCTAGTTTCTTAGTAGTAAAAGAATTTCTTGAAAAATAGCAGGCATAAAGTTGATCACAGGGAGCTTAGCTATACCTTAGACTCAAAGATGGGTAGGGAATGGAGACTCAGATAAAATAGAAAAATTTCCTTCCTGCTTTTCCCCCTCCCTCCTTCCTTCTTTCCATTCAATCAGCTAACCAGTCAAATAGTCAACCAAATCACCTATCTATATTCACAAGCCTTTGCTTGCAGGGCACATATATGAACCAGATCACAATCTTGTCCTCGGAGAATGTGCAGACTAGTAAGGGAGATAAGACATGGGGATGCTGATTATAGCCCTAGAACACAGAGGGGGAGTACTAATTGCCAAGCAAAAATACAGAGAAAGTTTCAAAGGGTTTCAAAGCCTGGATGGAAGAGTTCCAGCTAGGGGATCATATTTGTAGCTAAACCATCCTGTGATCAAAGCATATACCTGCTATCTTGCAATGAATTAATTAACTGTTAAGAAACTAGGGAGCCAATTAAAAGACTTAGGAAAAAAAAAGCAGTGATGAGTTAAAAAAAAAAAGTCAGTAAAGCATAAATATTGGGCATAGTGGGAACAATTTTAAATGATCTGGAAAAAAGGCTATAGAAATAGAAATCACATAATAAAATCTGAGTTTTGGAAGTCAATAAAGAAAATGATGTATTTCCATATAGAAAAATATTCTTTGAGATTTGCAGACGCTCTGCTATTGAGTTGAATGGCAGAGCT